GCTATTTAGCTTCTTTGTGATGGGTTCGAACATCGTCCTTTAGCTTGGAGAAGTTTGTTATTACCGATCATCTGAAGACTTCTTCTCTTAACTCGTCAAAGTCATTCTCCATACAGCTTTGTTCGTTGCTGGCAAGGAGCTCCCTTCCTCTGGAGGAGAAGAGGCACTCTGATTCTTAGAATTTTCAGCTTTTCTGCTCTGGTTCCTCCCCATCTTCATGGTTTTATCTACCTTTGGTGATGGTCTTTGATGATGGTGATGTACAGATGGGGTTTAGTGTGGATGTCCTTGCTGTTTGTTAGTTTTCCAATAGTCAGAACCCTCAGCTGTGGGTCTGTTGGAGTTTGTTTGAGGTCCACTCCAGAACCTGTTTGCCTGGGTATCACCAGTGGAGGCTGCAGAACAGCAAATGTTGCTGCCTAATCCTTCCTCTGGAAGCGTTGTCTCAGAGGGGCACCTGGCTGTCTGAGGTGTCAGTTGCCCCCCCTACTGGGAGATGCCTCCCAGTTAGGCTACTCAGGGGTCAGGGACCCAGCTGAGGAGGCAGTCTGTCCATTCTCAGATCTCAAACTCAGTATTGGGAGAACCACTACTCTCTTCAAAGCTGTCAGACAGGGACATTTAAATCTGCACAAGTTTCTGCTGACTTTTGTTCAGCTATGCCCTGTTCCTAAAGGTGGAGTCTACAGAGGCAGGCAGGCCTCCTTGATTTGAGTTGGGCTCCACCCAGTTTGAGCTTCCAGGGGGCTTTGTTTACTTACTCAAGCCTCAGCAATGGCGGGCACCCCTCCCCCAGCGTCATTGCCACTTTGCATTTCAATCACAGCCTGCTGCAGTGAGTGAGGCTCTGTGGGCCTGGGACCCTCCAAGCCAGTCATGGGATATAATCTCCTGGTGCACCATTTGCTAAGGCCATTGGAAAAGCGCAGTATTAGGGTGGGAGTGTCCCGATTTTCCAGGTGCTGTCTGTCATGACTTTCCTTTGATAGGAAAGGGAATTCCCCGACCCCGTGCACTTCCTGGGTGAGGCAATGTCTTGCCCTGCTTCATGGGCTGCACCCACTTGTCTGGCAAGCCCCAGTGAGATGAACCCGGTACCTCAGTTGGAAATGTGGAAATCTTGTCTCCTGTGTCGTTCACCCTGGGAGCTGCAGACTGGAGCTCTTCCTATTCGGCCATCTAATCACCATCCCCTTTTTATATCTAATCTTATTGCACATTTAATAGACCAGAGTATAGTATAAAGATAATTTTTATATCCATGGTAAAACAAAAAGATGTATGACTTGCTGTATTGTAGTATTCAGTTGTTGCACATTCACTTTATTGTGGTGGTCTGTACTGAAATCAGCAACATCTGAGGTACACCTTCACTTTCATGCAGACAAGTTTTGCTCTATTGCTGGCACTGTTGCTTCTAAGAGATGTTGATCAGAAGCCAGGGAAGTTACCTGCTCTTCAAGGTTGGTCATTGTAACTGTGGCTTTGCAGTGCCATTTAGTAGCTGGTAGCTGAAGACATGCTGCATGCAGTTACCAGGGCAGGAAGCTGGTGCCTGCCTAACAAAGTGAGAAGTTGCTTGAGTTAATGAAGACCTTAGGCATATTCCTAGTGAACTGAAGTACGACGACTGGTATGACAACTAGTACTAGAGTACAAAGGGTTGTCTGGAAACAGGCGACGTAAAGTCCAGCACATATTTACAATTTATTTTCTTGATAGAAGCCTAGGGAGAAAAGCCAGAGGTCCTGAGTGCCTGAGATTTGCTTGTCCATTCACTTTGCTCTATTCAGAGTCACTCTGTGATAGGAGTGGAGGGAGGATGGCATAAGAAACTTAGTGAATAGTACTGTTTCTGTCTCTATTGCACAGGCCATCAGCTGTCTTGGTCCCTCAGTGAGGATGACTTCTTATGAATACCAAGACCCATCCTCTGCAATGCAGTCATCCAGATAACTCTGTTTGGCCTGCTGGGATCTGGATGGCAAGAAACATATACTATGTGGTGGATATAGCTACCATTGCTGTTTTCTTTTTATCATATTTTTATTTTTCTTCTGTTTTTCTTTTTTATGGTCACTTGAAGTTATTTCACACTGATGTACATTTTTTCACATTAAAATGACTATTAATCTTGTCACTGTCTTCTTTGTTTATTTGCAAAATTTGTCCATTATGTCCATCTGCTCTTTAAGCACATCCTCATCTCCTACTGATTTTTTCTTCTTACCTGTTGCTTTCATCTCGGTGACTGTATCTTTGGCTTTCACTTAGCTTCTGATTTTTATATTCCAAATAAATATCTTTAATTTGTAAATAAAAACTGAATACCCTTTTAAAAATGCTTATATTTACTGTCTATATCCTAAATGCACTAGTTATTCTCAATGTGCTTTATAAAAATGCTCTCCATGGTGGTGTGAGGATGAGGAAAAAACGTTTTTTTATAACATTTTGTCGCCCAGGCTAAAGTGCAGTGGCATGATCTCGGCTCACTGCAAGCTCCGTCTCCCGGGTTCACGTCATTCTCCTGCCTCAGCTTCCTGACTAGCTGGGACTACAGGCACCTGCCACCACGCTTGGCTAATTTTTCGTATTTTTAGTAGAGACAGAGTTTCACTGTGCTTGCCAGGGTGTTCTTGATCTCCTGACCTTTTGATCCACCCACCTTGGCCTCCCAAAGTGCTGGGATTACAGGCCTGAGCCACTGCGCCGGGTCTGCAATTAGTTTTTAACAGTCTGTAATTTAATTTTGCCCCAGCATCAATTCAATAAATGTCAATAAATATGGTTTTGGCAAACCATAGGAACATTCCCTGCAGACTTTCTATTCTAAAGTGTTTCACCTCACTATTCAAGACTAGTGTTCCTCATCTTCTCCCAAGACTATACAGTAAAATTTTTAATCATATTTCTGCTGTAGAAACTCTCATTTCTACAACATATGCTTAGATGAAATTCTAATCAGCTACATCCAACTCCTTCCTGATAATTCGACTTAGGCTAACACAATCACCTCAAATCTAGAAAGTCTGATAGGAATATTCTTGCATCCCCCATGACATTTTGTTAGTTAACACTTTAGTCTGTGTCAACTTATGTATGAGCCCACCTTACAGAATTTTCTAAGTCAGAATTACATGAAAATTTTTCCTGTCCTTCCACAGATCGTTGCCAAGTCTTGACACTTCTACATTTCAGTATTTAATCTGCCTTGCTCTTTGCCTTTTATTTCTACTATCACTCAAAATAATACCATTCTCATTAGTCTACCATTACTCTAGGCCAGGACCTCTTAAGCTTCTTCCCATTTGAATGCTAACATGATTAAAAAGAGTTTCTTTTCTTCTTTCCTGCCTTTTAATTTATCCCCGTTTCATACAAACAAAAGTCTGTAAACTTGAATGCAACATGCAAGGTTTTGTATTGAATCCCATATTCTTCTCTATTCTCAGTTAAATCCATAGATTGCCTTACACTTTTTCACAAACATCACAGAACTTCTGGGCTTTCTTGGATGTACCACGTGATTTCAAAACTTCTTGCTGTTCCATATTCTCTTCTTTGCCTATAATAATTTTATTCTCATTATTACCCCCCTCAATCTTGACCTCTGCTTTCTTTGAAAACTCATCGTCATCTTTGAAGCCTGGATAAGGTGCTAATTTCTTAGAAAAATGTTTTCTACTTAATTCATGTCACAATAGAGAGTTCATTTTTCTCTACTGCTATAGTTAGTAAATGCTTCTATCTTTTATATGCTATGCCACATAACAAACTACCGTTAATAATTTTGATTTTATCACAGTTACAATCTTATTTAAGATCAAGATTATTTGGTTTTATATCTGCCCTGTATGACTAAGCTGGTGTCTAGAATAGAGTCAGAATAAATTTATACTTAAGAATTGAATTCATAAATATCTCTTTTTTTTCTCTTCTATAAACTATAATTTTAAATATTTAAAACAAGTAGGGGAAAAAAGTATAAATACATATATGAAAATGGGTTTAATGCCTTAGTCCAGGCCAGTTTACTTGGTTTAATGAGAAAGTGTTATAAGTAGGTATTGGAATTATATAGTTAAAATATATATATATATGTGTGTGTGTGTGTATAAATATAATGTTAATATAATATAATTTAAATAAGTATAATTTATATTTTGAGATCTAAAAACCGTTACAACTCTAATATACCAATTTTTCTGATAATGGCAATATATTTAAAATATTTTCTTTTGCAAATTTATTATCATGCACCATAATTATCAGTGATTGGTGTGAAACAAATACATAATTATAGCTTTGATTTTGTGGTTGAAGAAAAATGTATGCATTTACAATATATATGTTTTACAGAAAATTGGAATTAAAAATTAAAGTATTCTGAATACATTCCCAGCCTAAACTACAGCATTTTTAATTAACCCTCAACTGACATCGCGCATTTTTCTCAGAATAATGAGCATTTATTTAATATATTTAAGGTAATTTTTACTCATTATTTTACTGTCAATTATAACACAAACTTAGGCTCTATTCAGAATTTTTCTCTTTTGTAAAAAGTTTACTTGGGAAATATTAACAGACTAAACATAACAGCGACAACAGAAAAATCATCCTGAACGACTCTCGTCTCCTCTTCTTTAGGCATAGGTTCTATTTTATTCATTATTATAATTTTCAAGGCAATTAATTATCTAAATTTATGTTAGGTTTATGATATTAGTTAAAAAGAAATATCTTTATATAAGATTTGCAGCCTTTCCTTGAACATCACACTGAGATATTTTTATTAAAGTAAATAGATGAGAAAAACATTATGAATTCATGCTTGTCATATATAATTTGGAAAAAGTAAATTCTTCAGGGACTCCCACTTTTGATTATAAAAGAAGGCATGCTTGCTACCAAATCTTTTCCTCTTATTAGAAAGAAAAAATAAACGGGAAGATTTTATAACATAGTCATTGGAACAAATTGAGGATAGTATGAATATAAATATATTATGTCTAGATTAATTTTGAGCTTGCTAATTTTTTTCCTCAGCTTTTACGTGCCCTTTCACTTCATAAAAAATTCTTTTTCAAAGATCAAGGGCAGCTCCCTTTTTCTTGTATGGTCTCAGACTCATTAACGGATTTTACAGGAGAGTTCCAGATTTCTGAATCAGAACAACAGTTACTTATAAACTGCTTCTTATGTCTGGGCAATTATTTCTATTATCCCATGTTTCTCTTTCTGTTTTTAGGAAGGTTGAACCAGAACTGGTTAATATATTACTTTACATAGCAAAAGGACTTTGCCTATGTGATTAAATTGAGGATCTCAGGATGGTGAGTATCCTGGATAATCTGAGTGGAGTGAGGAGAGGAAGGGGTCTCTAGCCCAAGAATGCAAGCAGCCTCCAGAAGGTGGAAAAAGGAAGGGAACACATTCCCTGGGCAGAGATTACAGAAAGAATCAGCGATGCACACACCTTGACTGTAGCCCAGTAAGACTGATATTGTACTTCTGACCTCAACAACAGGGAGGTAATAAATATGTGGATTGATTTTTCCCTGAGACACAGTCTCACTCGGTTGTCCAGGCTGGAGCACAGCAGCACAATCACAGCTCGCTACAGCTTCAACCGCCTGCATTCAAGTGATACCCTGACATCAGCTGCCTGCTGCAGCTGGCTTATGTTTAATATTTTCTAGAGTTAGGGTCTCACTATGTTTCCCAAGGCTGGTATAAAACTTATAGACTCCAGTGATTCTTCTGCCTTAACCTCCCAAAGTGCTGGGATTACAAGCGTGAGCCACTATGTCCAGCCTGTTTTCTTAAGCCACTAGGTATGTGGTAATTTGTTACAGCAGCAGTAAGAAACAAATACATAAAGTTTATTCACAGTCAAGTTTCAGAATTATACTAGGTCACTGTTCTTCCAGCAACCCTGACTATGAGCTTTATTTTCAATATAGAAAATGATTGCCAGTGATGATGTCCCCAAACTTGGGATTTCATAAGCTATAGTTCTCTTCTATTTTCTATTAGGAATATAAAAACATGCCGTATTAGGGTACTCTAGAGGGACAGGACTAATAAGAAAGACGTATATGCAAAAAAGAGTTTACTAAGGAGTATGACTCACACAGTCACAAGGTAAAGTCCCACAATAGGCCATCTGCAAGCTGAAGAGGAAGGAAGCCAGTCTGAGTCCCAAAACCTCAAAAGTAGGGAAGCCAATAGTGCAGCCTTCAGTCTGTGGCTGCAGGGAAACCACTGGTGCAAATCCCAGAGTCCAAAAGCTGAAGAACTTGGAGTCCAATATTCAAGGGCAGGAGGCATCCAGCAGGTGAGAAAGATGAAGGCTGGAAGACTCAGCAAGTTTGGTTCTTCCAGCTTCTTCTGCCCACTTAATGCCAGATAGAGGATGGTTCTGCCTCCCCTAGTCCACTGACTCAAATGTTAGCCTCCTTTGGTGACACCCTCACAGATACATCCAGGAACAATAATTTGCATTCTTCAATCCTATCAAGTTGACACTCATTATTAACCACCACACATATCAAGCAACCGCAAGTTTCTGTGGTACAAGCAAGTTAAAAAGATTGAATAAAAAATCTCAGGCTTTTGATTTCTTGCCATGTTTTAAGTTTGTTGAATTAAATAGTAGAATTGAAAATGACAAACTTTATGGTAATATCTTACCTGTTAATGGCGAATCAAGTCCATCTCTCCTTGAATAGGAAAAACATTGTCCTAAAATGGATTACTTCAGATCCTGCAAGAAGCAATTGCTGAGGAAGAATTTCAAAAATCTGCCAATTTGTATTAGAAGAAACATCCAGGAGGGCTAATGAAGAGGTTGGAAGAAAAGTTTGGGTGAGTCTTCAGAGTATGATACAATTCTAACCCAGTGAAAGAGAGGAAAAAAGAAGTTTGGATGAAAGCATTAGACCTCTCTAAGTTTGTCAAAGATACTAGGGACTTCTTGAGCAAAAGACTTGTGGCTCCTAGGAAGCCCACTGCACTTATCTTGACTTTCACACAAAGACAATTACAGATTTCCATATGCAGTAGCCAGGGTCTTGTTTTGTTATGTTCACTCTATTTGGATGTTTGCAAGCCATCTTCATGTGGCAAGGCTAGAAAACAAACCAGATCTCTTGAGGCGGGTTTTCAAATGTGTCAATTGGAAATGCATAAATGATTAATGCTGCATATGTTTAATTTAACCCATCTTTCTGTGGAACAAACATTAGAGAAAGTGGCAAGGTTTAATAAAATTGTACTGGACTTGAAGTAGGAAATTCTAGATTTTAGAACACACTATTAATCCCTGTGAATTATAGAAACCCCTATGAAATAATTTTCATTCTCAGTTAACTTGCATTATTTTCACTAATAGGTAGTAATTTATTTGTATATATAAAATGTTAAATCAAAGTATTTATGCTGAGTAGATAAGACAGATATACATACACACACAAATGCATACAGATGCACACTGCATTAGCCTGCTCTTACATTGATAATAAAGACATACCCGAGACTGAGTAATTTATAAAGAAAAAAAGGGTTAATGAACTCACAGTTCTATGTGGCTGGGGGGACCTCACCATCAAGACAGAAGACAAAGGAGGAGCAAAGTCACATCTTACATGGCAGCAGGCAAGAGAAAGCTTGTGCAAGGAAATGCCCCTTTACAAAATCATCAGATCTGGTAAGACTTGTTCACTACCATGAGAAGAGTATTGGGGAAACTGCTCCCATGATTCAGTTATCTTCCACTGGGCCCCTCCCACGACATGTGGGAATTGTAGGAGCTACAATTCAAGATGAGATTTGGGTGGGGACACAGCCGAACCCCGTCACACGCATACCTGTTTCTACTGTGACTAATATTCAGTGGCATTTACTGGAAATCTAGTATTCTAGTGCTACAACTGCTCATACACATATCCTTTTCTTACCAATTACTCTTCAAGTGAGTCACCATTACAGTATTTTTCTGAAAACTGCAGATAGAGAGGAAACTCTCAGTTTGCTGGACAACTGAAACAGTCCTCTATGTTCCTTACTCTTAAAATTAGGTGATAGGAATATTACTTGTATTACATCTAATTTAATATAATATGGTGCTAGTCATTAAGGGAAATAAATTAATAAAAATCACCACTTCTTTTTCAAAATTTGGTAAACTACCAAGAAGGAAAACTCTGACAGTCTATTTTACAAAGAAAATTTAAGACAGACATTCCTTACATATGGATGCTATAAATTAGCACTAACAATCCTGGTAAAGTTTAGATAATATGTACAAAATATTTTCCATGAGACGCATTCACTTTGTCCTTTACTCTTCCTTCCACCTGTTCAAATAAGATTAGCACTTGCCAACAAAAAGAAAAGCAAATAATTCTGAAAGAATCAGGCACCACCAAATTTATTGGGGCAGAGTTGCTTCAGCTGAGTAATATCATCTTTTCTGAAGATGCTATTTATCCAGTATAAGTGTATTTCTCTAAAGGGACTAGAAAACTGCCTGTTTCACACAACTTGGATGTGAAATATTGTAGTATAAATAATGTGGTAATTTCACTTGCAATATAGCTGTTTATTATGCGATGCAATTAAGTATTACATTTAATTGCTTGCTTTTTTAGAATTCTGAATGCAGAAAATAAACATTCCATTTGGTATACTAGCCATTAACATATAATGGTCAGTGTTTGTGTTGTATCATGTTAACTTTTCCTACCTCAATTATTTCAGGATACCCTTATATAAGTGAATCTATCCACATGAAAAACTACAGTGGAGAAATCTAGGTTCATCACTGATGACTTGTTCCTACAAATTATTTCATTTATATTTTGTCTATGAATCTGCTCTAATCTCTGGGAATACAGCAATAAACATAAGACAAATGTCCTGCCAACAATAACAAAAACTTGTAAAATCCATGCTACATTAAAATTATAGTAGAAAGTGTAGGGAGAGCATATTTGAAAGAGAAGACAGGAGAAACCTCAATGAAGTGAGAATGTACAAACTGAGTTGGCTTCCTCGAGAATAAGTAATCACAGAGCAAGAGTGAGACAGCAATACTGCATTTCCACTATTTATCCTCTATGCCCATGGGTCATGTGCTGTTATATGCTATGGGATATTGCTTTATTCTTGTATGGTTTTCTTAAACTCTGCCTGCACTTACATGACTTGCTTCTATTTAATGAAATTCTCTACATATATTCTGTTTAGAGTACAACACCTTCTCTGTAAGACTTAATATCTTTGGACAAAAGAAACCTAAGTAAGCTTCAGTGCCTCAATTTCATCATCTTTAGTATTCTTAAGAGCTTACTATGGGTCAGACATCATTCAGGCATTAAAAGAGTTAGGAATCAATTCATGTGCTCCTAAGTACAATCACATGAGATTTAGATATTACTGCTTATATTTGATAGTTGCCAGTAACTTAATTAACTTGCCTGAATTCACACAGGCAGAAGGACATTGAGGAACATTTGAATTAAAATATCTGGATTCAGAACAGATGCTCTTGTCTACTGCTCAGTGTTCTAGTACCTATTTCAAAGCCTTGATGTGGTAAGTCAATACATTTACAAAAGGAAAGTTCTTGGACTTGCTGGGGCCACTTCTCAATAAGCATGAGTTCCTCTAATCATTATTTATAATATTCTCTATCAACATGATTAAGCAAGAAAATAACATTGGTACACTTAATAAGAAAGTTTTTTTTTGTTTTTGTTTTATGTTTTATTTTACTACAAGTCCTGTTTGCAAAAAGGGGATTGTAAAAATATTTTGATTTAAAATTAGTTCTACTGGTTCTTTAACAGAAAAAAACCCTCAATCCATTTTAATTGTCTTAAGCATAAAACTGTAAGATGATTTGCAACAAGGGGTAAGAGAGCCATTGCCATCATATCTGGCTAATTTCTGTATTTTTTTTGTAGAGATGTGGTCTCACACGTTGCCCAAGTTGGCCTTGAACTCCTGGGCTCAAGAGATTGACCTGCCTGGGCCTCTCAAAGTGCTAGAATTACAGGTGTTAGCAACTGTGCTCTGTCCTCTTTTTATTTTTAAAGGTAATATTTATAAAAGTTATACTGTAACTATAATTTGGCATTAGCTCTGTGTAAACACTTCTATACATCAACAGCATTCAGACTGAGAACCAATAAAGACAACAATCCTATTTACAACAGCAAAAACACTGGGTAGAGTGTGAATAAAATAAGGTAAAGTAAGTCATGGAATTTTTTCCAGATGTTTGTTTTCCATATATATGCACATATAGACATACAATTTTAGTACATAGAGTATTTCAAAGGAATGTTTTACATTTCCTAAGAAAAATTAGGCTTTTTCCAAAATGTTGTAATTTTAATAGTTTAGTTTTTGCCTTAATGTAATTTCGTTAAAGTGTTGACTTGATGTTTATAACATTTATTAGGAATCTGGATTAGCTCTCTTAATGAAGACAAAAAAGCTTTAAGATATTTTGAAAAATATTATTTAATGTCTTGAAGAACTGACAATATAGTAAGAACCTATAAATCAAAATTAAGTTAAATTCAGAATTTCTTCACCTATGTTCATCAGAAATATTGGCTTGCGGCCGGGTGCGCTTGCAGTGTAAGGATGGTTCGACATAAATAAAAAATCAATAAATGTATTCACCACATAAGCACAACTAAAAACTAAAACCATGTAATCATTTCAATATGTGCAGAAAAATTGTTCAAAAAAATCCAACATCCATTCATGATTTAAAACCCTAAACAAACTAGGCATCAAAGAAAAATACCTCAAAATAATAGCTATTTGTGACAAATCCACAGCCAACATTCTACTGAAAGGGAAAGAGCTGGACGCATTTCCTCTAACAATTAAAACAAGACAATGGTTCCCACTCTCACCACTCCTACTCAACCTAATACTGGAAGGCCCAGCCAGAGAAATCGGGCAAGAGAAAGAAATAAAATGTATCCAAATAGGATAAGAGGAAGTCAAATTATATTTTTTCACTGAAAATATGATTCTATTTATATCTAGAAAATCCTAAAGATTCATCCCAAAGACTCCTAGAAATAATTAATGTATTCAGTAAAGTTTCAGGATATAAAATCAATGTACAAAAATCAGTAGCATTTCTATACATCAACAGCATTCAGACTGAGAACCAATCAAGACAGCAATCCTATTTACAATAGCAAAAAACAAAATAAACAAACAAAAACCTAGGAATATGTTTAACCCAGGAGGTGAAAGATTTCTACAGTACGAAACACTGCTGAAACAAATTATAAATAGCACAAACAAATGCAAAAACATTCCATGTTCATGGATTACGAAAATCAATATTGTTACGACCATATTGGCTAAAGCAATCTAGAGATTGAACACAATTCCTATCAAATTACCAAATTATTTTTCACATAAGTAGAAAAACCAATTCTACAACTCATAAAGAGCCAAAAAAGAGTCCAAATAGCCAAAGCAATGCCAGGCAAAAAAAAGTAAATCTGCTGGCATCACATAACCTAACTTTATACTATAAAGCTCTAGTAACCGAAACACCACAATACGGGTACAAATACAGACACATAGATCAATGGGACAGAATACAGAACCCAAAAATAAAGGCACACACCTACAGCCAACTGATCTTTGACAAAGTGAGCACAAATAAACAATGGGGAAAGGAAACACTATTCAATAAATGGTATTGAAAAAACCAGCTAGTCATATGTAGAAGAATAAAATGGACCCACAATGTCTCATCATATGCAAAACTTAACTCAAGATGGATTAAAGATTGAAATGGAAGACTTTAAGTTATAAACATTCTAAAAGAAAACCTAGGAAAAACTTTTATGGATATTGGCCTAGGCAAAAAATGAGATTAAGACCTCAGAGATAAATGCAACAGAAACAAAAATCAACAAATGGGAATTAATAAAATGAAAAACTAAAGAACTTCCACACAGTGCAGACACGATCAACAGAGCAAACAGACAACCCGCACAATGAAAGAAAATAGTTGCATACTATGTACCCAACAAAGAACTAATATCCAGAATCTATAAGGAATTTAACCATAAAGAAAAAAAAAAATCCATTGAAAAGTGAGCAAAGGATATGAACATATTTTTCTCAAAAGAAGACATACAAGTGGCCAACAAACATGAAAAAAATGTTCAATATCAGTAATCATCAGAAAAATGCAAATTAAAATCACAATGGGATACCATCTCACACCAGTCAGTATGGGTACTATTAAAGTCAAAAAATAACCAGCTGGCAAGGAGTGGGAGAAAGGGGAACACTTATACACTATTGGTGGGAATGTAAATTAGTTCAACTCCTGTGGAAAACAGCATGGTGATTTCTCAAGAAATAAAAATACAACTACCGTTTGATCCAACAATCCTACTACTGAGTATCTATCTCCCCAAAATAAACTGTTTTCTCAAAAGGCACCTACACTTGTATGTTTATTACAGCACATTCACAACAGAAAAGTCATGAGATCAACCCGAGTTTCCAGAAATGAAGGACTGGATAAAGAAAATGTGAGAGATAGATATATATATATGAGATATGATACATATGTATAAATATGATATATATATATCACATTTATATGTACACCATGGAATACTACTCAGATCAAAAAAAGAATTTAACAATCATGTGTTTTGCAGCAACATGAATAGGACTTTAAGGTCATTATCCTAAGCGAAGTGCCCCAGAAACAGAAAGTCAAAAACTGCATGTTCTCATTAACAAGTGGGAGCCTAACAATGGGAGCACAAGGACATAAAGATGCAAACTATGGACACCAGAAACTCCAAAATGGGGACAGAAGCCCAAACCCTTGCATTAAGCAATACACCTATGTAACAAAGCTATGCATGTACCTGCTGATTCTAAAATAATAACTTAAGAAGTCAAATTAAGAAAAAAGAGCATTCTCCTGAGATCATTTGCTGTTCTAGGGAATGTGTGCTGAGACTTCAAGACTTTCTGCAGCATGAGAGAAAGAGCTAAGGATCCTAGACCTGCCTAAAGTTAGGAGACTAAGATGAGAGCACCCCCACCCCTGCCATTAAACTGAGACACTCAACGTGTTGGAACCTGAAGATAAAGATGAACAAAAAGTTACACACAGACACACACTACATGAGTGTGTAAAAATAAAGCTTTACCCTCAACAGAATGGAGAGGAAAAAGGACTGTATGAAAATGGAACTACAACCTGGTCTTTTGGAGCCTTGCAGTTCTAGTTCTCACTATCTGCATAGCCCAAAACAACTCAAGTTCATTTAAAGTGATCCTGACTGATAGTGGCTACCAGGTAGTTGGTCTTGCTTTTATTAGAGGTTTCTGCTTCTGGAGGAAATCTTGTATAATAGGTTATCGACTAGAAGGCCTCTGCTGAGTTGTTCCACCTGATATAGCCTTGGGGATTCTATGAATCTCTCCTCAGGACCAAGACACTTATTCCTCCAGCTTCCATGGATGGTGTATGCTGAAGGTTGAAGAATGAACCTTGTGTTAATCCATTTTCATGCTGCTGATAAAGACATACCTGAGACTGGGCAATTTACAAAGGAAAAGGATTTAATGGAGATCTCACAGTTCCATGTGGCTGGGCAAACCTCACAGTCATGCTGGAAGGCGAAAGGCATGTCTCACATGGTGGCAGACAAGTGAAGAGAGCCTGTGCAGGAAAACTTCCCCTTATAATTACCATCATATCTTGTGAGATTTATTCACTATCACAAGAACAGCACAGGAAAGATCTGCCTCCATGATTCCATTACCTCCAACTGGCTCCCTCCCACAACATGTGGGAATTCAGGATGAGATTTGGGTGAGAACAAGGCCAAACCATATCAAACCCTATTATAGGTATTTCCCTTCGTGGAAAAACAAAACAAAACAAAACAAAACAAAAAACTACCACCTATCAGGTCATGAAGCAGCCTGCATACAAAAACTGATGTGCTGGTTCAGAGAGTACATTTCTGAGGGACTGCCTGAGTTTCAGCACTCTGCTCAGTATCTCCTTCTGCCCAGTGCTGCTGTCCTCATTGATGACGCTCCTCAGAATATTCCTTAATGAACCTTCCACATGGAACTCTGACTCTCAGCAACAGTTTCCTAGGAAACCCAATCTCCAGCAGGGCTCTCCATATCTACTGCTATCCAGGCAGGAACTGACTCTAACTGGCCTTTGGTCTTATTCTGGCAACTGCCGGGGATAATTACAGTCCTTGGTAAGTTTCCTCATTGAAGTTCCACACACTCTGTACCCTGCTCACTTTGACCCCAGGAGTCTTCCCTTCTAGCACCTTTTAATGCTTAGACAATTATACAGTTGAATTGCATGGAGATACCTGCATTTTCATTTTGTCACCTGCAGGCAGCAATAGGAGTTTATACACTGGGGACTTTCACAGCTTAACCATGTCATGCCACCATTTATACGTAAGTATGGCCACCCAAGCTCCCAAACTATGCTTTGATGTAGAATCCAGCCAGAATTCTAAATAGGGTAATTGACATGTTT